CCTGCCGCGGTGAGGACGCCCCCCTCGCCCCCACCAACAGAGATGGGAAGCGGCCACACGGCCAGGGGGGTGGACGCGGCTCCCATTAGCTCTCGCCTGCACCGAGCGGCTCCGGCCTTTGGATCCAAGGTTCCCGTGTCCTCCGGAGCCGCCCCCCAGGAACTGTCCCGACAGAAGGGGGTTCCCAGCAACGCTGAGCCAGTTCCTTCGGGGGGAGTCTGGCAGCGCCCAGACTCTGAAGGAAGAGGTGCGGACCCTCGCAGACATTTGGGTGCCTCCGTGTCCCCGAGGCAGGGGATCCCGACCTCCCGTGCTCTCCCAGCGGCGACCCTCGGGTAATGAATGGACGTGCCATTCATACTTTTCCAGTTTACATACGAGGAAGCCAGCTCACTGACCTGCGTGTAGAGCGGGAATGCCATTCATAGAGTACTAAGGCACGGAGGTTATTCATTGAAGTTCCAGTCCTTTATTTTGCAGAGGAGGACACTGAGGCCAGAGAAGTTAACTTAGCGAAGGTCACACAACTGGTTAAGGGCAGAGCCAAGACGAGGCACCCTCACTCACAGCTCAGTGAGCGCTCTTCCCACCTTCTCCTCCCCCGGGACCCTGTATTCATGATGCCAGGGTAATCTTTACAGAAGCAAAAGTGCGGAGGAGAAAAATAACCGAACCTCAAAGTCCTTTTATGGTAGACATTTGGGAACCCAAAGGTTCTTTCTCTCTCTCTCTCTCTCTTTCTCTCTTGGCCAGGCACTGTTATAAGTACTTTCACAAAGATGATTAAATCCTCAAAGTCGCCTAACCCGTTAGTTGCGCTCTTATTTCCATTCCCAAGGTGACAGATGAGGAAATTGAGGCCCAGAAAGGTTATTCGACTTGCTCAAGGTCACATAGCAGCCCACTGCTAGGGCTGGGATTCAAACCCAGCCAGTCCGACTCCAAAGTCCGTTTTCCTCGTCTTTCCTGCCCGCTGCTGCCTCTTGGTACCATGAAGAAAGGGGCCAGGAACAGGAAGGGCAAGAAACAAAACCTTGGACAGCTCCAGGGTCTGGCCCTTGGGAGTGGCGAGAAACCTAGAGAACTTGGAATGGTTCTTCCTTGGCGTGTGGGAGCGGCCCTCCACTCTCGTGGGATAAGATTCTCTGAGAAAGGTTTGTCTTCAAAGGGAGGCCCTCTCCCCAAAAGACAAGAGGAATTTTACAAAAAGAGGAATCATTAAAACAGTGCATGCCATCCGCCTGTTTTCTCCCTTAAAGCAACCCAATATAGGATGAAACTGCCTTCTCAAACAATATGATATGAAATAGCCGATGAATTCTAGATTGTGATGACACACAGGATAGGATGTCAGGAAACGGCCTAGAAATCGAGAACCTCAAACACCCAAACTGACGGAGGCCCTCCCATCGTCCCACGGACATCCGAGAGCAAAGCTGGGGCTCCAAGGTTCCCGGAGACGATCACAGAAAAGGAAAACTTAAATCAGCATCAGAGGCAACTTCTAAAGTTCACTGGCCAGACTCGATTCCAGGAGCCCCCCTGCCCCCCCCCCCATTCCTCTCGGAGCCATGCTGCTAGGACCTGCTACTTTTCACATCAGAACCTCTTCCTTGGGGGTCCTGGGCCCCACCGCCATGGAGGACTGACTTCCCATCCAACTCCCTACAGTCGGAAAAAAGTGTTTTCCTCCCAGAAAGGGCCTTCAGCAATAGGCTGAGTACATTGTAATAGAATACAGAGGTTAAAATTTTTGTTGTGAATAGTATGAGGAAATATTTTCACAAATATATATATGTTGTGAAAGCAAAAGTCAAAAAATAGAATGTTTTTCATTAGCTGGTAGATTCACAGGTGGTTTAAGTGATCTTAATATTTTCCAGGGTTTTTGCATTTTTTAAAATAATGGGTGTATGTCAGAAAAAGATTATTTTTCCAACAGAATTGATGAAACTGTCAGATCTATAAGATAGGGAAGGTAGTTTCATGGCTATTGGGGAGCTCATTGAAACGTAGTCACTAAACCCTGCTCCCCTGCGTTGGCAGGACAGAAGGTGAACGCACACTTGAAAACACCTGCGGGTGATGCTGAAGCAGGAGGCCCTTGCTCTGTGCTTTGAGAAACATGGACAGTGTTAACGCTACACCTGGACTCTTAGCTCTGCTACTTGCCAGCTGTGTGACACCCTTTGGTTTCAAGAATCTTTTGACCTCAGTTTCCTTATCTCTAATCTGGGTGTTGTGAGAATTGATGAGATCAAGTTTCTGGCAAATAAAAAAACAGGTTTTCTTAACCTGGAGTCCATGGGCTTTGGGTGTTTGGCAGGAGGATCCCCTCCTGAAAATGTGTTAAAGCACATTTCTTTCGTCACAATCTCTAAGTCGTGAGGCTCAAAGAAGGCCAGAACCCCCTTAATAGGCTTAATAAGTGGTAGTGAGCCCGGCCGGCGTGGCTCAGTGTTTGAGTGTCGACCTGTGAGCCAGGAGGTCGCGGTTTGATTCCCAGTCAGGGCACATGCCCAGGTTGTGGGCTCGATCCCCAGTGTGGGGTGTGCAGGAGGCAGCCAATAAAATGACTCTCATCATTGATGTTTCTATCTCTCTCTCCCTCTCTCTTCCTCTCTGAAATCAATAAAAATAAATTTAAAAAATAAGTGGTAGTGATGATTATGATTATTGTAAGTTCTGAGGGATCCTATGTCCATTTCTTCCGAAGTGGTTCCAGGACTGACAGCACTACCTGGGAACTTGTGAGCAATGCAGTTTCTCCGGCCCTGACCCAGACCAGGTGAGTGAGCACGTCTGGGTGTGGGGCCCAGCAATGGGGGTCTGAACCATCCTGCTGCCCATTGAAGCTGGAGAACCACTGCCGGGGTGGGGTAGTCTCAGGGCAGGAAGTGGCAAAGAGATATCCGAACGCAGCTGGCTGCTCCATTCCCTTCCCTCCACCCCTGACCCCATCGAGGGCTGATGTGGATTCCAGGAGGGCAGGTGTGTTAGCTTTTTGGGGGGGGGGGGGGGCGGACTGCATTTCAACCAGGAGAGGAGTCTGCTGAGCTAGCTCCCTGGTTTCCAACACTGATCCCACGATTCCCTAGCCATTTCTCACCTCCCCCTTTCCTCAGGTTCCTCCACTTACATCTACCTCACGAGGCCATTGAGGCAATTAACTGTAATGTGCTTGACATATAATAAGTGCCTCACAAATGATGCTATTATGTTACAGTGAAAGTTTTCATTCCTAGGCTATATCTTGGTACAAATATCAAGGTGGGTGGGCATTGCTTCGTTTAAAGAAGCATGTGTTATATTAGGTTACAGGAAAGTTCAGGAGAAAAAAACACATGATATTCACAGGCTGCCTTCCTACTTAGCATGTCAACAGAATGAATGAAGTAACATTTGTAGGACACGGGGCAGTTTTCAGATACCCTGTAAAGTCAGAATACATTCATGATGAACAAGGTCAGCCTCACATTCACCGCTTAAAGCCATGTACTTCCAGGCCACCAGTTATAAAGGATCCCACTAAATGGTGCTGGTGAGGTTTTGATAGTTTTGATTCCTGCTGCTTCTCATCTGAATCCTTTGTGACAAGTTTTGTGCAGCACAGCGCGGCACATGGCACAGGAAAAACATGCCATGCTGCTTCTCATCTGAATCCTTTGTGACAAGTTTTGTCATGCCGCCGACGTTTCCGTCTCCTATGTCACAAAATGGGGGTCCGTGTTACCCTCGTGACGGCAAAGCTCTTACATTTTC